ATTCGTCGGCTCGTTGGCAAGTTTTCCGAGATTGGATTGTCATACACCCAGTTCCCTATGGCAAAGTTTCCCAAAGGATTGTTGTAGGTCTCTACTCATCATAAATTTCGGCAAAGGTTCCTCAACGTGGATTGTCTTCAGCAAGTGGCAAATTTTCCCGAAGAGGATTGTCGGTCGACTCTTTTTTGCAAATGTTCCAAGACGCGGATTGTCAAGTGTGACAATATTTTCCTAAAAGGTTTGTCGCATAGCGTTGGCAAATTTCCAAGGTGGATTGCTTTCAAGAGTTATATTCCGTGGATTGTCGATCGTAGCAAAGTTCTTATGAAAGATTGTTACGAAGCATTGGCAACTTTTCCAAAAATTGGATTTTGGCAAATTTTCGGAGATACGGATTGTCGCTTCATCGTGGCAACATTTCCAAGGATGGATTGTTACGAAGCATTGACAACTTTCCCTAAATCGGATTGTCATACATCATACAAGATTTGTGTTGGCAACTATTCCCAAAGAAAAGAGGATTGTCATCACAGCAAAGGCACCGACATACTGGTTCACAAACAACTGAGGATTGTTTCAAGAGAAGCAATCTTCGATAGTATTCCCTTGGACGTGGAATACTATCATAGCGGAGGAGGATCGTTTCAGGCAAAGCAATCTTCTATATTGGAAGCAGTTACGGGTGTAGCAGTTTTCAAGCGGGATGGCATTCTCTAGCTTGTAGGAGGTCATCAAAACAACAAGGATGCAGCAACAATCGGTTACTTTCAGAGACGTGTGCTCGACGGTGCAAGATACGCGTTTCTTAACTCTTTTATCTGTTTAACTAACGCTAGTTTGCAGGTATCGGCGTTACAAGAGTGATTTAGGATCGCAGAACGTTCTGAATCATTCTCCGTCCCTATCGCTACTTTGACTTTTGTTTTCGAAACTTGCGTTTCTCCAAACTCAGTCAAAGTAAGGGCTTCTGTAGACACCCATTTGTGTCTCCCCAAAACCAAACCTAGTGATGAGTACCTTTCACGTCGAATCATAATCGAATGAAACGAAAGTGTGGAAGGTCTAGTGTTGCGGAAAGTTTTTATTTCTTTTCTCTTCTCTCTGTTTTTGAAAACTTTATTTTAAGAAAGCAGCCAATCCAGTTTGGTTGGTCCATGATATGGGTCCAATAGTAGTGTAGTTGGATGGGGCTTGCAAAGACCTTTCCAACGATATATAATAAGCCCAATTTCGATGAATATTGAGGAAGTTATGGCCAATTTACCAAACTGGGCCCGGTTTGAGCTTTATGTGCAGCCCAATGATCTAGGGGAGGGCCTAATATGATTTATCATTCCTAATGCAATTACGAATGGTTTTAGTCTTCTAGATTCTTCTAGAAGGTTCTTTTCATTCCTAATTCAATTAGCATTGATAAATTGACTTTTGTTGACTTTTCAGAGTTTTAATCAAAATCAAATAGCATTTTTGAGGAAATTATATTATTTTATCCTCCAGTACGGTAAACTTATCGGATTTTAGAAAACGCGTTGGAATCAGGCTTGGCGCCTAACACCAGGCCTTGGCGCCTGGAACCAGGCCTGGCGCTAGCCATTGGCGCCTGGCACTGGTGTTGGTGCCTGGCGCCAGCTAGCCAGGGTTGGCGCCAGCCTTGTTTTCTGAGCGTCAGACTCTGTTTTGTTTAATTTATCTTTTTGGCTGATTTTCTCTATAAATATCGTATTAAAAACTCCGTTTTCATTCACGAATTCTCCTCATTCACAAGTTATCATCAACAATCATTAATTCTTTAGCATTCTCTGAATCATTCATCTCTCTTCAACATTCAATTCTTTCTTTCTTTGTTTTCTCATACAAAATTCCGCATTCACAAGATCTAGAAACATTTAGCCATATTCGAAGTTGCCTTCGCCCTAGACGTAAAAGGTTTAATTTATGAGGGTTTGGTCCCAAATATCTCTTTCAATTATTTAATTTAATTATTGTTTATTATTTTCCTTGAATTTACTAACGTGTGTATTTTGTTATTAGAAAGAGATATGAGGCATCAAAGTAAGTACTTTATTGATTTATTGATATTATGATGTAGAAATCATGTTTACATTATTATGATATTCCTAGTATCATGTCTAGGGTATTTTTAATATTAAATATGATTGTTATAATGCTTCCTACGTTCTTCCTAATATTTATGATTGTTAGTATCATGTTAGGGCTAAAGATTTGATTTTTAATGCTTAGTGACATGCTAGGGTTTGTTATTAATCTTGTTAGTATCATGCTTAGGTTCTTGCTATTATTATTATACTTTAATATTAACATGAACATGATTATGATTATAATTGTTATAATTTATAATGATTATGAATATTATTATTATTATTTTGATGATGATTATTTTATTTATGATGATATTGTTATTATGATTATTATTATGTTGCTTGATACATATTATATTTATTTATTGCTTGATCACACCTTTTATGCATGTTTAAAGGGAATTTGTACTTGTAATCACGGTTAATAAGATAATTAATAATCTTGTTTAGGGTTAATGCGATTATAATTCAAGTGATCGCCAATAATATTTTATTTGTGCATTAAATTCAACCAACATAGATAAACAGGTTTAGGGTTAATCCTAATGATTGCATGTTAATTAAAAAGCGCACATGAATACGATCAGAATAAAGTAGAGGCCTATTATTAGGGCAGATTCAATCTCTTTTAGATTGGATTTGTATCTTCATCCCCAAACCCTTATTTGGTTCATGACCTTATGGAGTTGACGATCTCTTGGATCGTTAAGGGGTGTAACCTTCATCCTATGAACGGTTTACAAGTTCCTAAAAAAAAACTTGATGGCGACTCTTTTGCTCTATCTTCTTCCCTTTTGGACGCCACCGTACTTTAGTGTATGATCACAGCGGGGTTCAAGTTAGTGGGATTAAAGCTTGAAATTATTCCCTACACCCCTCCACCAATTTTTTACCATTGCAATAATATCAGAACCAACAATATGCCAAAATTTTTGGAAAAATAAAGCATGCACACCGTCAGTACCAGGAGCCTTATTTGGATGCATCTGGAATAACGCTAACTTGACCTCCTCAGAGCTCGGTTCTTCGGAGTGCTTTTTATTCATTTCACTCGTCACCATCATATCAATTCCTTCCAATGCAGCCTCAAAATCAACAAGGTCATCAGTTTTGAATAGGTTCGAAAAATATTGGCTACCACATTGTGTTATTGAGCTTCTTCATCGACCCACTCCCTGCCGAATTGAACAGTCCCTCAATTCGGGTTTTTTCCTTCTCTGACTTGCCTTTCTGTGGAAATACGCCGTATTTTTGTCTCCATATTTCAACTCATTTTCATGAGCCCTCACATACTAATAAGTTTCTTCCTGAAAACGAAATTCATTGATGGTCCCAGAAATTTTCTCACACTGACTCATCCTAGCCGCATCCATATGGCCTCCCTGTGCTTCTTGGAGTTCGGACTCAAGTGCTCTGATTTTTTTCTTCACATCACCAAATGACTTGGCTGCCCACTTTGACAGAGCAGTCGCACATGAAGCTATACGAGAGTGAGGCGCACTACCAGCCCCATCTTCCGACGCTTTCCTCACCACATCATTGCACTCCGGTTTTGAGAGCCACATTGCTTCGAACCTATACAATTTTTTCTTCCTGCCACGTTCATAATAATTAATTGTATCCAGTAGGATCGGAGCATGATCGGAGTCAATACGAGCAAGGTGTTTAACTTTAAAATTCGGCCACAATTCGCACCAAGGGTCATCTCCAAGAAACCTATCAAGCCTCTCCCTAATAATAGTGTCCTCCGTCCTCCCCCTTTGCCAAGTAAAAATACTACCAGTAAACCCCAAATCACGTAAGCTACAGTCATAATGGCACCCCTAAAAGCATCCATCAAATACTCACGTCTCACAGCTCCACCACTCTTTTCCGACATACTCACAATTTCATTAAAATCTCCGAATATAATACAAGGAAGATTACAATCCCTTCTCAGGCTTCTCATGAGGTCCCAAGTCTTATAATTATTCTCCGTCTCAGGCCACCCATAGATACCAATCGCTCTCCACTGCGGAACGCCCAATCTATCACAAATATCAATAGCAAAATGATGTATAGAGTATGAAAAAATAGTAGCCTTCACATCATGCCACCAAAATCTCATTCCTCCAAAATTCCCATTGCTTCTAATACATATATCATTTTCATACCCACACCTTCTCTTAATTCTCTCCAACACAGCACTATCAATCATTGTTTTGGTTAAAAACACCACATTCGTCCTATCTCTCCAACATAAATCACGGAGAATCCTCTCTGTCCAAAGGTTGCCAACCCCTTGGACGTTCCAACTCAATATTTACATTGCCTTTCGAGGGCATGGTCATTACCATCACCCTCTACTTGGATATTACTGTCCCTAGAGTTAGATACGAGCACCAACTTCCTTCTTTTCTCCATATCCCCATCATACCCCATCTCCTCAATCCCCCTCTTTTTATTTTTTATAATCTCACAATCACTACTGGTCGTAGTAACCCCCTACTTCCTTCACCATACCCCTCCTCCATTCTAGAAACTTTTTTCCATTTTCTATTATTTTTTGTAATTGTCCCAGAATCATTCCCCCCCTTTCCCCCATCCTCTGCCACCATACCCAAACTCCCCCCTGCAATCGTCCCCTGGCCCTCAACAGCACACACCTCACTCACAATATTCATCCCAACATCCACATCCCCCACACCATCTCCATCACCCTCACTTGCAATCGGTACTCCCTCCCCATCATTCCCATTCGTACTCTCCAACACACCCCGTAGTTCGGAGCACAGATTTGTTTGTATTAGGATCAACAACAATTTGCAGAGTAGCAGCTCTATCCATTGGTGCTTTGTCCATAGACTTATTCATAGAAGACGAAAAGAAAAGTTTGCGGCCATTCAACACGTCCCCTCCTCCTTACAGTGATTCGGGCTTGTGAGTAAATACAAGGGATTGTGATTTCTTCCGTAGACTGTCGACCTCCTCCTTCAACCTATCATGCCCCTTTCGAGGCGACGCCCTTAACCATAGCCCCCATTGCTTCTCTTCAATTTCCTCGTCTTCGTCAGCATTGGGGCAATCCTTTTCCGTATGGCCAAGGATTCCACACAAGAAGCAAAAAGTAGACAACCTCTCATACTTAAATTGCACCGAAGTAACAACTCCTTTCTTATTGCGAATTTTCTGTATTCTGCGAATAGGTTTTGATGTGTCAATCATAACACGAACCCTCCTTGATTTATCCCACCCCAGTTCGTCTTGCTCAACCTCCAAAACAACTCCAACCTTTTCGGTAATTTTCTTCACATCCTCATCGGACCTGTTATCAAACGGAAGATTATACAACCTGATCCAGAAAGGGCAGAACTTGAGGTCAATGTTCTCAAGTTGTTCGTCCCCCTGAATGTCCTTGAGTAAAAGCAATTGGTTATCAAAATTCCATAGAGCACCATCAAGAACTTTCTCCTTGTCACGCCAATGGAAGAATTGTATAACAAATAGATTGTTCTCGATCTTGCGGAATAACACCCCATGAGACAAAGACCAAATCTGTTTAAGGGTATTTTGTAGAGCTTCAAAGTTATATGATCTAATAGTCAGCAATTTCCCCACCAAAGATAGGGCTAATTTATTGTTCTGTTCTTCATCATTCGAACCTCCTAATTCTGCAATTTCATTCTCTTCCTCTGTAATACTCAATTTTGACCACTTCTCAATAATTTCCCCTGCCATTCTGAATCCAAAGAAACCACGACAACCCCCTCATCAGAGAAAGGGAGATCGCTTGAACGCGCAAGAGAACCACTCATACCTCCGAACCAGGAAACCCTAAACCAGAGCGAGACTCTTTTCTTTTTTTTTTAAACTTTATTTAGATAACTGTATGTGAGAATTTATACTTATATGAGAACTAATCTATAATTTAGAACACGTGAGTAATAAGTTAGAACATACGAGTAAAAATTTAGAACATGCGATTCAAATTTAAATTTAAAACATATGACTAATAATTTTGAATATGTGTGTGAGCAATAATTTAGAACATCTGATTCAAGAATTAGAACATGTGAGTAAAAATTTAAAAAATTTGTTTAATGAAATTTAGAACATATATATGATTAAAATTTAAAACATTTGATTTAAAATTTAGATCATGTGAATAAAAAATTTAGAACACTTGGTATAAAATATAGAAAATGGGAGTAAAAATATTGAACATATAAGTAAAAATATAGAACATTTGAGTAAAATTTGGAACATATGTTTTCGAATTTAGAACATATAACTAAAAATCTTAGAACACACGCATGTTTTAAAATTTAGAACATATAAGTTAAAATTTCGGAATAAGTCATTCGAAATTTATAACATCTAACTTAACTAATTTATGGTTTAGAACATGTGAGTACTAATTTAGAACATATGATTTAATTTAGAACACTTAAGAAAAAGTTTAGAACATCAGATTTAAAATTTAGAACATACAACTAAAAATTTAGAACATAAAAAATGTTCTCACATAAGAAAAATTCTCACCAGAGCCTCCCCATATATATATATATATATTCTTGTAAAATGTTACTGGTATTGGATATATCTTAGTGTGCAAAAGGAACAAATTTATATTTATTTTTTATTTATTATTTTTTAATATATTTATTGATAATTAAAAATATATTTTTTTTGTCAAAGATGTGCAGTAACAAACAAAAAATAAAAAGTCAAGTGGGAAAATTACAAAAATGTAAAAATTAAAACATAAATTTGAAAACATTGGCTTCAATAATGGTTAGATAATTAATCTCTTCGGATAGAATATACATAGTATATTAAATCAAAGTTGAAATTTGTTAAAAGGAACATCTCAACCAAAAGCAAGGCTCTTAAATATGTTTTAATACGCATTCACGCCCCCTCACATGAGAGACATTTGGGCTTGAACTGTAGATGCGACATGGGCCCTAATACCCAACACGAAATATTCCACTTGAAAGTTGGGGTAGAAGAAATTCAAATCTGTGGCTTTTGTGTCATCCGGGCTCCAATACCATGTTAAAGGATTATTTCAACCAAAAGTTCAAACTGATGGTTAAGACCCGTAAACATATTATTATACTCTATCAAAAACCGAAGAACAAGCCAAACTATTAATGTGATTAATAGGAAACAAAAAACACCTCATTATTTACATATGGAATAAGTTGAATTTACAGTATGGTCATTCAATTATCTATAATAAGCTGCTATAATCATTCTTCTTGAATGTGTTTGGAATTTTAATGATACAATTGATACAAAAAATATGAAGTAAGAGTTTAGTACTGAGGTTGAATATAAATCAATATTTACTTAGTCTTTGTGATCTTGTGGTGAAGAACTCTTTGAAAGGGAAAAAGGAAACGGAGGTTGTAAAAGCATGAAGTTTCCTGAGGATTGCGAGTTTGATGCTGATGATGTAGGCTTGTTTAAGTAAGTTGGCGCGCACCCCTTGCCATTCTGAGGCAAGAAATTGGCTGTATTACCTTGAACTTGATCCGCCCATCTCATGCTTTGAGTAGTTAAACACTCAGCATTATTTGTTCGATTTATATTATTTGTGATGTTATTGTTACTGCTTCCTACCATGGAAGAAATTGCAGCAGCTACTGCAGACTGAAAACTCGGGTCTGAAGTAAGTACCTTGGTTAGTGTCTCAGTTAAAAATTGATGAGAAGAGGAGGAAGAAGAAGTGGAAGCTTGATTGTTAACACGGTCCAATGAATTAAGATGACTTACTGGTTCATAAGTAGATTTTCCGAAACTTATGGACCCAACAGGAGGTTTATTTGAGGGCAATAGACTGTAATTTAGGTAGCTGTTATTGCTCCAAGAAACAGGAAACAATGTACTTTTTGTATCTGAAGAAGAGAAATCGAGGCTTCTAGAAGAGTAATTGGATGGTGTTTGGAGAAAGTTATTCGCGGTATGGCTTTTGTTAAAAACCGAGGAAGGAGTAGCAGTGAGGTCTAAGGTGATTGTTGGTGGTGTTGGTGCAGAAGAATTAGGTAAATTAAACTGTCCTGTCCTTGAATTATTGTAGAGGGTATAGCTTAGTCCGTTGAGGTTGGCCGAGGTCATTGAGGGAGCTGAGGAAGTAAGACCGCCTTGTGAGGTTGATGAGCCGGACAAGAGAATTGATGCTGCTGCTGAGGTTGTCGATGCCATGGCCGTGGCTGCTACTGGAAGTGGGTGGTTGTGTGTCCCTTCGTAAGTTGTTATTAAGATAGACATGTCGTCGCAACACCTTTGCACCTAATAATAGATGATAGAAATGATTAGATAAATGATCATATACTTTTATATTGCTAAAAGAATTATAGAACACTTGCAAGTTCAGACATCCAAAAAATAATACGAGTAAAAATTATACACAATTTATGTAAGGAATGAAATGTGATAAAAGAGAACTAATCAACAATACTAACTTCAATAAATATAATCCTAGAACCTTTAACGAGCAATAATTAAACGAGCATCTATCTATTAAGTGATGCAAGGGCGTGGTAGGATGTATGCGACAGCCTTGCTAAACTATTAGAGAGACTATTAATCCTTATTCGGATAAGTAATGACCAACTACTAAATTGAAACAAATGATAAAGGCACACATTTTATGATTTTAATGAGACATTTTTTAAAAGTCCTTTGTAATTCTGAGGTCAAAACAATTTGTAAGTGCATGTAATCCTGAACTCACTTGTTTTCTAACTGGACATGATGGTGCAACCGTGCAACGATAGTAAGCTCGTGGACACGGATTTCCTTTCGCAATCTTCTGCCCATATTTCCTCCATTGGCATCCATCATTCATCTGCATTTAACAATTAATTAATTTCCAAAGAATTAATTTTCAACACTAATTAAAATAAATTTTTAAAATTGTTACTTGACATTTCGACTTACAGTTGGTGTGTCACATCTAGCTCTTACAGAAACCCTTGCCCTTTTAGTGATGTTTGGCTGTGTAGTTTCTTCTTCTTTAGCACTATCAGTCGTCGTCTTTAAAACCTTACTTGGCGGCCAAGTTTCTCCTGTACCATCTTCTTTTGAATCATCCATCTCTGTACTTCTCTCTGAACCCTTCTCTGATAAATTAATTGAAGGAGAACTCTTGTATTCGAGTCCCAGGGAAAGTCCTTCACTCATTAACTTCGCGTCTTCTTTAGCAATACTAGAGGATCTACTAATATTAGTATCATCCTTCTTGCGCTTGTTATTGACTTGTAAGCCTAGGCAAAGTGAAACTTCAGGTTCATCCTTGTGCTGATTTGTATTTTCCGATATTGTTGAGGGTGATTGTTCGTGTTGGAGGATGTCAAAGAACCGCCATTGCAATGATTTGTAGTCATTTTCGACTCGTTCCAACATCTTCTTTAATCTTTCATTTTCTTCTTTCACTTCACCCATCTCAGCTTTTGCAGATTCAAGTTCGTTGTGCTGAATAATAGACATCACAAACAATTAATCAATATTACAAAGCATAATTCATTGACATATCTAATTTATTTGTAGTGCAATTAATTAATTGCTTACTAGCTTAGAAAATCATAATATAATAAGTTACAAAAAATTACTTCTATTGTTTAGATTACTCGTAAAACTCTTTCTATTTTGACTTTTTTATGAGACAATCATCATTCAAACAAGAAGAACTTTTAGAAAGACAGAAAGAGTAAGTTATAAAAATATCTTATCTTAGGAGAGAACGTAAAATTAGAAAAATTCTAAGCAACTTCATAATAAAACAAAAGGATGACATCAAAGATGTAGGAAGTCAAAGCCTAAATCTTTGTTAAACTTTTTTTTTTTTTAAAATGAATTCAAACGTAAATGTCAGTCTTACAACCGACTATTTCTCTCTAATTTTGCCATTTGTAATATTATATAGTAACATCAAATTTCCATCTAGTAAAACTTCTAGTTATTATTGTGACTAGGGTTTGGTACATTTTTTTCTAAATAAATCAAAGTCTGCACAATTAAAAAAGAATGAAGTAATTTGTGAAGGATCTTTTCCTTACATTTAATGAATCTGGACACAATTTTTTTTTTCTTGTTGAATTATGAAAAAATGAATTAATAGGAGCACTAGTTAATGATACAAAATTTATCGCGAACTTCATGTTCATCATGTGTTTATTCTTACTTTCCTCTCCTATCATATGTTTCGGAATTCAGTTAATTAAGTGCCTTTTTATTTAGCTCATGAACTAGATAAAAACATTCATAAATCAATCCATTAGATCAAGTTAGTGTAAGATTGTGAACTAGTAAACGATTTGATAATGAACTGTTATCAGTGATTTTTTCTTCATAACCATGCTCTATACTAAATTATATTATCATCGTATTACTAAATCTATCTTCTATGCTAAGTTTTGTTAAAAATTGCAACATAAATCAGGCACATATTTATGAAGTAATGAACAACTTAACGATAAACTAACATAAAAAAATAAAAAAATAAAAAATAAAATAAAAACCTTAAGGATTTCGATTACTAATTAATAATACAATAAGCTAATAATCTACTATTCATACCTCTTTGTTAATAACTGGAATTTCCTGCTTAGGGGAAGAGATCTTGAGGGTCTTATCTTCATCTTCGATTCTTGGCTACAACACGAAAAATGTAACAAATCGAAAGAAACATAGTTAATAATATATTATGCAATCTAACACTTTCTAAAGTAGAAAAATAGCATCATATATCATATCATAAGCTAGCTAAGAATTTACCTTCATTTCCTCTATGCAGTTGTCTTCATGTCTGACTATAATAACATCTTTTTCGGGGTTGGTTTCGGCGCTAGAGGTAGAGGTGTCGCGGTTATTTGCATCCATCTCTCAAGAAATCCTAAGTTTGATCAGCTGAAAACAAAAAAAATTTTGTGGTCTTTGACTGAGAGAACTAGTACTAGTCTTTCTTATAGAAACTACAAACCATTGACTTTACATTAAATAAAAAATAAAAGATTGAAACTCTTCATCTCTTCCCATTACATGAGAAGCACACGCATTAGAACGTCAATTGTCCAACCAACTTTCGCATTATTTAGGTATCTATGAATTAAACCCATTGTCAACTTAAGAATGGTACAACTTCAACTACTAGTGGTTTAATTATGAATATAAATCTCCGTTTAGAATTAGTTGTCATATTGTCTAAGCTCTCGCAATTGAGAATGTTTTAGTGATTAAAAAATGGCTTCTATACCCATTTAATGACTTAATATAGGTGTGTAGTGGCATAATTAAAGTTAAATATAATTGTATACCAAATTAGTAAATTACCACTATACATTATAACGAATGTGAGAATGGTATAATAAAGCTACTAATTAAATAAACGCAATTGGAGTATAAATCATTATTATTAGTCTTTGGAGGGTTTACTCGTGTTGTGTCATTGGAAGTGCCAAAATATCAATAAATTCTGACATATACGCCGGAGTAATTTTTTTTTCTCATTTGATAAATTTTGCTAATTTTGAAAATTTTAAATGACTAAAAATTGACAAATCAGCTAAAATTTACTCCTTAAGCTCACCTGGCGGCTAACATAATAAGGTTCTCCACGATCAATATCTTCCCACATAGAAATATCAAGAACATAAATCATAAAAGTAGTACATGTGGATATTATTTCAAGACAGAAAGAGTAGTCGTTAATATTTATAACTCCGTCGACTAATTGGAGAGACTTGAGAATTGAAGAAGAGTTGGATAGAAATACCTTTCAGCAATACATGTTTTTTACGGTACCTGGCCACAAAATGAAGCTTCGTACCATGAGAATATGTCACATGGATACTAGTCAATAATGATAATGAGTGGGATACCTTTCATCTAGTTGCCAATATTTAAGACACTAATCAAAAACAAATTTTAGCTTTCCATCATGCTTAATCAATTACAAAAATTAAATTAAAATGGAGACTTTGTTGTCCATTGCATTGACCTCTTTAAGAGTAATCTAATAACCATCTTATTGATTCATATTAATTATTAAATTAGTAATATACATCCTTATGGTTGTTGACTGCCGTAGATACAGTTGGCAATGGTTGTATATAGCAGACTTGGTATGAACATTCATTCTATTTATTAAACTTTGTTATAAGCATTTATATTACTATTATGAAGTTGAATTTCTTTTTTAGCACCAAAAAAATATGGTTGAAATTATTTTATACATGTATTAATTTTATATATGCAGTAAATTTCAACTTTGTATGATAAATTTGACTGCAATTTGGGAATTTTGTTAGGTTAATTGAGGGGCGGGAGGAGAGACTGGCCGATTGAAAATAGGTATGTAGATTAGTCTAGACCACCAATTGTATCGCAATCATCAATCTAATTTTAATTCTCCAATGTGACAACACTAAAGACTCAACTCACATATAAGTTATTTTCTTAACAAGGGGGTGTCTAGATGGTAGTTAGTGCAGTCACCCCCTTTGATCTCGATCCTAGACTAATAGCAAGGCAAGAGCAAGGGGTTGTGTGCGCAATGAAGTTGGGTTTGGGTTGAAGTCTTGAGAGAGGGTACGTACGTACACTCAAGATTATGTACTCATAAAAAAAAGTCTTTTTATGGATTTTGTTTTAGTAATGAGAATTTCTCATACCCTAGATCCATTTGTTTGTTAAATGATAAGGGATGTATATAATAACAAGATTTAAAGGAAAAATTGACAATTATTTAGTAAGCATCAATAATCAACATGTGATATCGATTTTGTTATAAATTCTCATTCCTCTACCATTAGGAAATATATTCAATGCATGTTTATATGTAGTCGATCTTTATACTCCATATATCATAATTTATTTATTTTCAATCTATTTTTATCTTGTTTAAGGGGAGGAGGGGGGGGGGGGGGGGGGGGCGGTCAGACAGGGAAGGGATCGGAGCATAAAAGTCTTAGTAGGGCTCTCTTGGCTAGGTATATATATTGAACGGATGAAGTAATTAAGCCCTAAGGGACAAAATAAACTTCATTTTCAATAGCATCATATATATCAAGCTAAGGTCACAAGATGTACATGCTCAAAAGGAAATCTATCAAACCACGCTATCTACAAGTGACAATCTCCTACCAAAATAAATAACGGCATAACGCATGGAAAACAATGCGCCAACTCATGAGCTTCTTCTACGTATTACCTTTTCTATGTACCCTAAAGATCAATCTTATCAATTAATTACGATATAATTAATATAATTAAGTGTTCTTATTGACTCTATATACAGAGGTGATCTTTGGAATTTCATTTCATTTTCTCCCTTTGAACTATTCTAAGAAATATATGATACCTTATCTTATGAGCTAGGTTTATCCAAATTGAAATAATTAATACCAAAAACTAATAATAATAATAATAATAAAAACAACATGATTGCAGGCCTCAGAGAACTGACTTGGAATTTATTGAGTATATTCTGTATAGTGGCACAAGATATATGTAAATTAAACTGAAATTAGTGATCACAAATTTTAATTAATCTTTTACTGATCCCAATTGTACACATTAAATGGATTCCTTAAATTACAATGAGCTGCAAGAATATTTTTTTTTTAATTTTTTTTTTAATTTTTTTTATAGGCTACTATGTACAGATCCGCTTGGCCCTTCGGCTTTAATGGAAGGTAGATGATTCATCTTCTCATTAAGTAAGACAGATAAGTAAAAACTAGGTTTATGTGAACAAAAAAATTGAGTAAATTAAGAAAAGTCGAGTGTAAAGATGTGAGGAAAGTCTCACATAATCAACAATTGTTTTGCAACAACATGCACATTTAAGTATATATACAGTATCACTATAATATTTAGTACAAAATAATTTTAATTTAATAAAATATAATTTTAATGTAATAAAAATAAGTTAAATTTTAAAAAAAAAAAAAATTGATAAAATAAAATCAGTAATTTTTAAGAGGCAAATATAATAGAGAATTGGATAACAATAACAATAAATTTTTATTGTGTATTTTGTGCGTGGCTTATAGAAGATTAAAGTAACCCCTATAACATTGACGAAGTAACTCTTGCAACACTAATTGAATAACCTTTATAACAGTATACTGAAGTAACCCTCATAATGGCTGGCCACATATATATAAAGAGACCATGGTGGCAGTGCCTATAATTTTTTTCATACATTGTCACCACCATTGAGTCATTTATTACCATCATTGAGATGGCCTGGATTTGAGTAGTTGATCGAGGAAGATTTACTATAATAAGTAATAACGCATATTTAGAGGTAACGATGTCGAGTTATAGCTAGCTTAGTGACACTCATATATCGGTCGAGCCCTCAACAATACCTCAGCTATATTGTCCAGAGAACAAATATATGACTCTCTAGTTGAAGAAGGTAATAATACGGACAAATGATCAATTTTTGTATTGACATTATATAATCTTAAACTTGAGGCTTATTGGCCAAATTGTAGTATTATTTAATTAAAGTAAGGTCATTAAACTGATTTAAATGGCTTATTAAAAGGCGAAAGACCAGATTTAAGTTAATTATTTGCTAATGCACGACCTTAGCAGTAAGCAAATTAGCTTGGATTTTTCTTAATCAAGCTGATCTCCTATTTTGCTGCACCTTAAATAATCTAACAGATCAGCTAATTAAGAGGGATTGACTTGAGTCATATTACTTATTGACTGCTTGCTGTATAATTGGATGTTTAACTTGACACATAATTAGTCCAACTACCACTTACATGCAAGCATCTAATCAAGATGGAGTATTAATTATTATTTCAGTCTTAAAGTTGCGCATATTATAAGTGATACTAGTCAGGCAAAATCATTTCAATATGAATAATAGACATATCATCAACCGTAGTTAGTGTTAGAATATGCCTTGAATCAGTTAGTCTGCCTCATTCGACTGTCCATCGTAGGGGTCTCACATCACTACTACATTTTAATATAATCACCATGTGCGTTGCTATTCAAGATTTATAAAACTTTCTCTTGATAATTGTGAACGTAATAATACATTGTTAGTGAACCACATAGAGGCTTACAATCGTGATGCACCATGAGGTCCATGACCCCCACGGCAGCCACACAATAATAGTATGCTAGCTCACTGCTAGACGAGTCACGTACATAGCTACTTCAAAGCCGCCTTCACATTGATATTCTCGGTCTTTAAACAAACTGAACCTGCGTGCTCTACTCATCACGTCGTATGCTACACATTACACATGTGTAACTCCAATCCATCCCCCCAGCATTTAGTTATGGACTTATGGAGTACGTGATATCGATTAATATGTTACAGTGCCTATTTACTTATTGATTGGTGACTAATTACATTGTTCGGTTGGTATATTAGCATAGATTATTATGAGTCCGTTCGCATTATAATCCACAAAATAATCTTATAATACGGAGATATGACCAAATTAGATGATGGATATAGAGGGTACGAGTTTATAATTAAGAATGTCTTATCATTATAACACAACTTTATAGCTGAATAATTTCCTCCACGACGTCAATGCCAATAACTATACTACTATTTATTTCTTATAGTCGGGAGACAAATATTATTATTCGAATTAAATCAAGTTGTATTAGTAAACAATGTTTCCAAAAATTTGACCCTCACTTCCTACATAAATTATTGATGTTTGATGCTTAAACATGTTATACCAAAGGATACGGAGAGTCCAATCTAGTTAATTAATTTAATTTAATTTTGTGCTAATATTATGAGCAAGTTGTTAATTTTTTTCAATTTATGATATTAGTCGTGACTAGTTGAGATGAATTTCATAATTTATTTTTTTTGTAATATACATTTTCTTTGTCTGATGGCTTCCAAAAAAACTGAAAATTAAAGACTGATTAATTCAAAGTCCTTCATAATTTTCATATAATATGGATTTGTTGTTGCCTCAATACACTGTTTATTGAAGAAAAGACTGATTGATTCAAAATGCATTGAAATTACATTGATGTTCTTTCATCAAAATTA